GATGACCTAGAAAATATTAGGGATGAGCTAGAATTAATACAGGGATAATCTAGAAAATACCGGGGATTAGCTAAAAAATAATGGGGAATATTCTGGATGACCTAGAAAATATTACGGATGAGCTAAAAAATACTGGGGATGACCTAGAAAATATTAGGGATGAGCTAGAAATAATATAAGGATAATCTAGAAAATAATGGGGAATATTCTTGATGAGCTTGAAAATATTAGGGATGAGTTTAAAAAATAATGGGGAATATTCTGAATGAGCAAGAAAATACTAGGGATGAGCTAGAATTAAAACAGGGATACTCTAGAAAATACAAGGGATTAGTTTAAAAAATAATGGGGAATATTCTGAAAAAAAAATCTGTGTCCAAACCGAGGCTCGAACCCGGACTTTCCGCTTCGGAAACAAGTGCAGATTATCATTTTTATTATTATTTTTAATATTATTAGGCCAAAAGACTAGAATCTAGACAAACGTTGGATCAGTAAAGTAGTAAAGTATTATTATCATTATTATTATTATCATTATTTTAATAGATATTTATTAATATTATCAACATCATCATTTTTATTGTTATCATTTTTAAAGATCATTTTTACTTTTATTTAATTTATTATTATCATTATTATAATTATTCTTATTCTTATTTATTTATTTTTTATTATCATCATTTTATCATAACCGAGGCTTGAACCCGGACATTCCTCTTCGTAGACTGGCGTACACAGTATTATTATCATTATTATTATTATCATTATTTTAATAGATATTTATTAATATTATCAACATCATCATTTTTATTGTTATCATTTTTAAAGATTATTTTTACTTTTATTTAATTTACTATTATCATTATTATAATTATTCTTATTCTTATTTATTTATTTTTTATTATCATCATTTTATCGTAACCGAGGCTTGAACCCGGACATTCCTCTTCGTAGACTGGCGTACTAATCTAGAAAATACTTGGGATGGGCTAGAAAATATTAGGGATGAGCTAGAAAATATTAGGGATGAGCTAGAAAATATTAGGGATGAGCTAGAAATAATACAGGGATAATGTAAACAATACTGGGGATGAGCTAAAAATAAGTGGGGAAAATTCAGGATGAGCTAGAAAATAATAGGAAAATAATAAAGATAATATAGAAAATACTTGGGATGGGCTAGAAAATATTGGTGATGATATAGAAAATATAACGAATGAGCTAGAAACTTCTGGGGATGAGCTAGAAATAATATAGGGATAATCTAGAAAATACCGGGGATTAGCTAAAAAATAATGGGGATGACCTAGAAAATATTCCTGCAGGGAGGGCAGGAGGGGGCCAAAAAAATCTGTGTCTGAACCGAGGCTCGAACCCAGACTTTCCGCTTCGGAGACGAGCGCACTAACCGCTCTGCCACCACAACCACATTATTTGTCATATTATAATTATAATCAATATTATTATTGTTCATATTGTCATTATTATTATCATCATTTTTACAATTATTATTATTAGCATCTTGTTAAAAATTATTGTTATCATTTTTATTACATTTATTTTAATCATTAGTATTAAGTATTAATGTTATTATTATTATTTTTATTATTATAATTTTCATTATTGCTATTACTTTTATTATTATTATTATTGTTAATATCTTTTTTCATTTTATTATTATTACTATCATTATAATTAGTGGTATCGTTTTTATTTTCATCACATTATTATCATGACCATTATCATTTTTATTATTATTGTTATTATATTTTATTATTTTCATATTATTATTAACATATTTTTCTTTAATACCGTACCCAAAAAATAGTATTTTTATTATCAGTATCATTATAATTTTTTTTTTTTTTTATTATCATTATTATTATTATCAAGTCAATATATTTATTAATATTGTTATCACCATTATCATCATTTTTATTATCATATTTTCAATTATTATTGTTATTTTCATTATTAAACTTATTATTATTATCATCATTTTTATTATTATTATTATTATCAACATTTTTTAAAGATTATTGTTATCACTTTCATTTATCATTATTATTTTTATTATCATTATTATCTTTATTATTATTATAATTTTATATATTATGGTGTCTATATTACTACAATACCAATAACCTAAACTATGCCTAAAGGGGTGTAAAAAAACCAGCAACGGTTAAAATGTCAGCGCACCTCCTCCGTCACCGTCTCGGGAGCCTCCATCTCGTGTACGGTGGCCAGGGACGTGTTGGTCTCCTCAATGACCAGCGCGTTGCCGTCCTCATCGGTGATGTGGGAGATCACTGAAACAACACGCTCAGAGTTGCACACACATAGAGTTACACATACATTACACACGTACAGTTATATACACAGACATAGTTAGACATATAGTTACATTCAATGAAACACAATCATAACAAAAGTAATATAGAAATAGGATAATTATAATAGAAATAAAATATAAATATAATAACCATAATACAACTAATAAAATAACAATAACAATAATCAAAATAATGTATAAACATTAAACAACATAAATAATAATACCAAAAAGATAAACCTAGTAAAAATAATACATAATTTCATAATGAAAATAATATAATGTATAATAATAAAAACAACAATAAGAAAAACAAATATAATAAAAATGTAATATTAATTTTAAAAATAAAATATCAAAATAATATTTATAATGCTAAGAATAAAATAACAATTACAATAAAAGTGATCAAAGTAATGTGTAAAATAATAACAATAGAAATAATTATCATAATCTTTAAAATATAAAAAATAAAAACAAAGATAATAACAGAATAATAGTAAAAATTGTTTTTAAAATGATAGCACTATTACATTATATAATATACTCAGCCAAAGTTAAGGAACATTACACTTATAAATAAGTCAGTTAAAAACATATTGTTAAAACTATCAGTTGTGATTATAAATATTCTGTGTTTAAAAAAACTTAATAAAAAAAAAAATTATAATAAATAAATAAATAAACACTTTTTTTTAAAACAGGACTCATTTAAAGGACTACAACTCGAATATCTTTTGGACCAATGTGGACAAAACTTCCAACGGATACAGAGAAAAGTCGACTGTGGGGACGTCCCACTGGGAAATGTAATGTAGCTGATCTAGGAGTCCGGCGGCTCACCCTCTCCCTGCGCATCCTGTATGATGCCCTCCTCCACCATGATCTGGCCCGACTCGCCCGCGTGCACCGCGCTGGGGTCCGCCGTTACTATGGTGATCACATTCTGCCACACAAACAAACAAAGCTCTTTGTTACTCATACTTAAGTTTGCCTTACTCATGGCTTTGACACAATTATTACAAAAATAAAAATAATGAAAACAAGATACAAAAATATTAATTATAATACTAACAGTAAAATAATAATAGTTATCAAAGTAATGTATAAAATAATAACAAAAATAATGATAATAATAATAAATTTCAATAATGATAATAATAACAATAGTGAAAATATATAATGATAACATTAACAAAATATCAAAAATTAATAATGATAACAAGATCACAAATAGTTATAACAATAATATTTATGTTAATAATAATGTCATTTCCTTAGCACATACACCCGCTCTACAGCAAGCTTCAGGCACTTTAAAACTATATCATAATTATTACCCCAGCAGACTCTGAAACGCTCAGTAACATTCTCAGTTTCCTGGGAATCATACAGTGCATGCTGATAATTTAAGCACCCAAACACTAACAAACACAAGTATATCATAATATAAGTGCCCAAAATATGAGAATCCACCCATGTCCATAAATATCCACCTCCCAAATTGTCTTCACACGTCCCCCTGCCCCCCCCCCCCCCTGCCCCCAATGTCCTCACGTGTTCCTCCCCGTCCTCCCCATGCTCCACGATAGTCTCCTCAGTGATCTCCCCCGTCACCGCCCCCATGACTGCGTGGTCCTCCGTGGTTCCCTCCCCTGCGTCCATCACCGCCTCCTGTTGGATGAACTGGTTCAGGGCGATCTTGCCCGCCTCTGGGAAAGGGACAAAAAGCTTTCTTTCAAAAATAATATTAAAAAATCATAATAACAATAATTTTTAAAACTATGATACAAATAATAATAATACAAATGATAAATAATAATAAAAATAATATAATCATAAAAATAATTATAATAATAATAGTCATAATGATAATAATAACAATAATGCTGATGATAATATTAAAATATTAATGATAATAATTAAATGAAAATAATAATGATACTAATAATAATGAAAATAACTATTATTGATAAGAATAATTATTCTAAAAACTTTATTTAAAAATAATAAATATAAATAATAAGAATAAGAATAAGAATAAGAATTTTTAAAAAGCAAATGAAAATGAAAATAATAATAGTTGTGATCAAAAAGATAACAATAACTTAAAAGATGATGATAATAATAATGATATTAATAATAATGCATTATTTTTTAAATTTAATATTTTTAAATCAATAATAATAATCATAATTTTAATGATAATAGTAGTAATAATGATAACAGTAAAGATAAAAACAATATTAATAATTATAATGATGATAATAATAATAAATACAATAAAATGATAATAATAATGAAAATGCGATATTGTTTTATTTTAAAAATTAATAAAAAATAACAATAATAGTAATAATAATAATAACAATAAATATAATAAAGATGATAATAATAATGATAATAAAAATAAAAATAGTAATAATAACAATAACAAAAATGATACTAATAATAATAATAAAAATGATAACATTTATTTTTTAAATGATGATAATAATAACAAAATTAATAATAAAAATGATAATAATAATTTAAAAGATGATAACAATAATAATGGTAATGACAATAAAAATAATAAACATATTAAAATGAAAATAATAATATGAATAATAATAATAATAATAATAAAAATAATAAAAATACTATTTTTTTTACATTTAAAAAATTAATTAATAATGATAACAATAATAATATTTATAGTATTATTAGTAATGATGAAAATAATAATAATGATGATAATAATAAAAATAAAAATGATATTCAAATAATAATAATAATAATAAAAGATATGTGCGCCTGTCTCCGAAGCGGAAAGTCGAGATTCGAGCCTCGGTTTGGACATTGATTTTTTTCGCCCCCTCCTGTCAACCCAGCAGTAATGGGTAATAATAAAAATGATAATAATACATTTTTAAATGGTGAAAAAAAAAAATAATAATAATAAAGATAATAATAATAATAAAAATAATAATGATTTTAAAACAAATTTTAAAAATATGTCAATAATGTGGGTGCCGTGACGGAGGATTAAAGCACTCATTTACAAAGCGGAAAGTCCGGGTTCAAGTCTCGGTTACGATAAAATGATGATAATAATAATAATAAAAATAATAATAATAATAAAAGTACCAATATTTTACAATAAACTAAAAAACAAAAATAATAATAATAAGTATTAT